GAAGCAGGGCTGAGCAACCACAGTATAAGAGCTGGCCCTGACGAGCAGAGCCAACAGTTAATGCAGGGATGATGCTGAAATAGCATCACCCAGCTGGAGCTCTTCTGCTCCCAGGAACATGCTGGAGGTCAGGGCAGGAGCTATAGGGATGGAGGAGGTTCCTAGGGACTCAGTGGGGTCCCAAGTCCTGAGGAAATGGCTCTGGGTCTAAGGAGAGCTAGGCCAGCCTAGGAAGGGGCTTAGAGAGTGTGAGCCTACTGAGGGGCTGGGCAAGGCCCTGATTAGAACTGGCTGGGACTGAGGCCAGGGGCTCAGATGAGTCCAGCGAAGTAAATGGCTGCCAGATAGAAGATCTCTGGGACACGAGGCAGGTCTGGTGGGAGTTGATGGCTGTATGGTAGGGCCCAAGGGGGGACCTCTGCTGAGTAGGGAGGTCAGCTGCTGCCAGACTGATCCGCACACTCTCGATTGGTCAATGCAAGGGGGCCAGGGCTGACAAGCTGAAGGGCACGGAAGCCCACTGCGAGGGGCAGGCCAGGGTTGCGGACAGCTACTGGCACCCCGGCTGGCCTGGAGGCAGGGCCAGAGCTTAACAGAGGCTGGAGGTTCCTTTGATTGGAGGGAGTGGGAGGGACATCACTGCTGAGAGAGGACAGGAGGTCAGCCAGCAAGCAGGCTGGTATGAAGGAGGCTGAAGTTCAGCCACCAGATGGGAGGTAGCCTACAAGGGGCCTGAGAGTAAAGGGGCCAATGACTGAGAGCAGGCTATGAGATGGTGGCTGCAGCAGAGTGCCCAGGAGTGAGTAGTCCAGGGAAAACATCCCAGAGCCCAGTGAGAGAAGGAAAGACCAGGGCAGGTTGACCTGTGGTGGTCCTGGGGCATGACCTAAAACTACACCCTGCTGGGGGAGCATGGTATGGGGGCTGCTAGTAGCAGGGCAGTCCCCAGGAAATGCCACACCAGTGCCTCCCTAGTGAAAGCCAATGAGGTGCCAGAAAGCCTCAGCCCCCACTGCTTTGTGCGTGACTCTGTGAAGGGGAAAGGCTAAGAGAGTGCACCTTGAGAGAAAAGCAACAGGCTTGGGCAATAATACGGAGGCCAGGAAAGCCTGAGGCCCAATGCCGAAGAGTGAGGCTTGGGCAACAACACAGGGGCCAGAAAGGCCCAAGGCCTAAATGACAGTGGGGCTTAGTGGGAAGCCTAAAGGAGAATGAGGTCCAGGTATGTCAGATGCCTGAGGCCTAAGTGGGCCATAGGCCAAGAGTGGGGTCCAGGCATGTCGGCAGACACCCAAGCCCCACGAGGCCTAAAGCCCTGCAGCCCCAGTGAGGGGGTAGGGAGGGAAGGGCAAAGAGCCTAATAAGAGGCAAGAAGTCCAGAGTGAGGGGGCATGTGGCCAAAGTAGCACCATCACCTCCTATGGCTTGCATACAACACTGCTGTTAATACAGCCCAAAATTGAGACTATCACAGGCGACTTATGGCAAAAGCCTTACTGAAGTGCAGGGATATTAGGTCCTATTGCTTTTGCCTCAACCAACAAGTTATCTGCCTAGAATAGGACATCAAGTTGGTTTGGCATGATTTGGTCACCAAATCAACACTAGCTGTGAACGTGCATCCCTTTTCTCTTCCAGAGTTTTTACAAACAAGGTAATTTATAATTTGGTGTGGTAACTTGCCACGTGACCAAGCTAGCATTCCCTGTATTTTCCTTTCCCCCCTTTTAAAGATGGACACTATGTTAGTCCTTCTCCAAGCCTCTGGGACCTCACCTGTTGTCCATGACCTTGAGAATACTGTTAGCAGTCGCTCCGAAATATCTTCAGCTCGTTCTGTCTGCACCTTGGGATGCATTTCTTCAGGCTCAGCTAGTATCATTCAAGGTTGTCAAAAGTTTGGCCACCCAAACTGAGGGAGAAGGACCTCATTAAGCTTGCAGGCTCCAAAGAGCTGGTGGCACCTACCTTGAGATGAAGGCCTTTGCTTGTTATCCTGTCATGGTTTCTTGAATGTTTGTTGGGGGAAAGGGGAGGATTTATGCGTAATTCTAACATTATAAAAGCTTAAGTCTGTCTGTAACACGTTATTCATGCTCTGATTGGCTGACGGAAACAGCCAATCGGAGTGCTCCAAGTGTGGGGGAACGCTGCCATGATTGCGAAGCCATGCCGAGAACCAGATAGAGGGTGGGAGAGCCAAGGCCAGTGCTGGCCTTGGCTCTCCCACCCCACTCCCTGCAAGAGGCAGAACAGCGGCAGCACGGGGCGTTAGTTGGTGGCACTCCATCCCAGCCCCCCCACCGTCATTCTTGACTGGCAATTGGCTAGTATTTAAAGAAAGCCACAGACCCTCTATAGGAGAGGGGGCTATGGGCAAAGAATAGAGGGCTATGGGTGTGAGGTTATTATCATCATCATTAGTATTAATAACAGCTCTCTTTTTGTTTTCTAATTCCCTTCACAAGTTGCATCTCATTCTTCACCCTCACTTTCCCAACTGCTTTGAGGAAATTCTGCTACTCCTTTGTACACTGCCACAATGACTTCCACATCCACAAACAGCCTGTATGTTTCCTTTGATTTCCCGGCAGCTAAGAAACTCCTGATGTGACCAAATAAGTCTCCCGCTGGTCTTATGTGGTTTGGTACCGAACCTCCACTACACTGCCCTTTAGGCCCCTGCTACACGTTACTTATATTACGCAATTAACTGGTTAATCGTGCAATAAATTTAGACTGGCCACACATGCAAAGTAATGACCACACGATAAAAAATTATTCTTCAGGTATAAATCAAGCCAACTAGCTTTGAACACAGTGCTTGAAAATATGCAACAACTCTATAGCTGGTTTCTATTCAGCTTTCATTTGAACATGTAGCAGGGCCCCTAGGAACTGCCAGGACCCCTTCAGCTCCTCTGTCCATGGGATGTTGCCTACTAATTCTGTAGAAGCACAGTTCGATAATCTTGGCTACTCCAGTGTCCTTTGGAATCGAACTGCTGAAATCTGACCACCCTCTACTGGGAACTGCTGATCACAGGGGAAAGATACTTTCAGTGACTGACTCATGCCCTCTCCAGAGGTTGACAGAGGGCAAAGAGGATATCGATTCCTTCTGGGAGGCATACAGCAGTTAAAAAGGTCATACAAGCTCCTCAGATCGTAACCAATGTACACACACGTGCATCTGTACCCAGCTGCAACCACGATGCATTTGCACCAACATCACGTTCTGCTCTACATTTGCCTCAGTATTTCATGTCATGCACATTTTCATCACTCCTTTATCTTTAATGCACGTTCCCCCCTACCCTCCCAGTTCTCTCCTGCACAAGCCCAGCACCCGGGTGTTGAGCACAGGGCCTAGATTTGGAGCCTGGGACCTTCCTCTCTCTAGTCACAGTTAACCCTGTACAATTCAAAGACACCTATTCTGATGGCCAGGGAGATCTGGAGCACATGGGCAGGGCTGAAGAGGGAGCTTATGCCTGACAGCTCTGAGCTCAGAGCACCTCATGCTCCCATCTGCCACAGCAGGTGCTGCACCCAGGCCTTCTCCCCCAACCTCCATGTCCCAAGACCACACATTTGCTTTTTCCTCACTTCTTGTGCTGCCCCCCCATCCCCAGCACCAGGCAGGGAGCATCTCCCTGAAAGAAGAAAGGGATTGGCCAACAAGGGGAGGGAAAGGAGACATACTTCTGGGAAGGACATTTCCCAGGTTGTAGGGGGAAGAGAGGGGAATGTTCTCACAGGAGCAGACAATGACAGTCCTCCTCTGTAGGGCTTCCCTACCAGAATCTAACAGTACATGTACCATGGGACAAGACATGGCTGGCTTTCATTCTCACCCCTGGGACACAGGCATCAGTATCCTCAGCCCATCTATTTAATTTCTTCTTCCAGCCTGGACAGTAACAGCACTCCTTGGGGACAGATCTACACCTTAGTTGGCACAGCAGTGTCTGTTTTTTCTGGGTAAGTGACTGTGCTAATAGTCTCACTTTGCAGGCCCCACGTCATGAATGAGGAAGGGAAGCACTTGATACGTTACTATTGACCTCCCAGCTCAGATCCAACTTCAGCAGGCTGGTTTCTGTCCCATGTGAAGTATAATCTGCAGCATTTTACAATGGACTGATCCCTGCAGTGGGCATGTGTTTGGTTTAAAGAAAAGTCTACTCACCTGGTGCTGTTCCACTGCAGGCAAGGCCTCATAGTCAAGCCAGAAGTGCCAGGGCTGAGGTATTTTTGGTACCGGTAAAGTCACGGTACTCTGCCAGCTACTAGAAATGTTATAATGTTCACCCAAACTAGAGTACCAACTTGGTGCCCCTGGAAAGGGACAGCTCTTTCCATGTCCTCAGTAAGACAAACCCCTCTTGCTTCTACACCTGACCCTGTTCTTTGGGCATGGTGTTTGGGAGCTTTCCTAGGCCAGGGAATACACAGATATGATCAAGTCCTCCAGCACTGTCAAGCCATCAACTGCATCTGCACTCACCCTCCCAGAGGGGACTGGGGAAGAAGAGATATTCTGTTACAGTTACAGCCTCATATGTCGGGAAGGAAAGGCTGAAAAAGGAGCAATCAGTCCTGCTTTGGGGTAACTCATGTACAGGTCATTGAGTTAAAAGATGGGGGTGGAAAGGAACATTAAGTCCTTTTCATGTAAAGCATGGTCTTAGAAGCAGCCAGCCCAATATCTATACAGCTGGTATAATACTTCTGCTCTGTTGGACATGGAAGAAGGCTGTGCAAATGCTAGCACCAAACCAGATCAGGAATCAGCCAATACAAAGTACCCAGGACTAGAGGTTGCATCTTCCAAACCAGCTGGATGGGATACTGCCACGCATCTTCTGCTACCAAACTTTTGATTAATGGCAATGAGAAGAACCATCATCTCCAGAGCTGCGCCTGTCAAAACAACCCTTCTGCCCCCTCTCTCCTGCGCGAGTGGCTTAAACGGCTGTTCATCAGGACTGCAGAACTTAAAGGACAGGATTGTTTTAATTATTATCATTACTAAATGGAATTTCACAGGAGTGTTGCACACAAGTCCTCCCAGACACACACTCATCACCCCTCCCAGGTCCACAGTGCTCCATGCAGTGAAACCACCCACTTCTATCTGATCCATTATTCTGTATTTGCAAACTCCTTATGAGGCAGGAATTTCTTTCCTCTGCTGCTTTTACTGATACTGAAATTCAGCTCAAGTTAATTATCCACTCCCCCCATATGTGTTAAGGCAGCAGCTCAAGACATGCTGACTTGGCATGTGGGACGGTATGTATTCTCTCGGAATAAGAATGGACGTGGTACGGATTCCAGGCATTTGGGTGAACTCTGACTGGAGAAACAGTGGCTCCAGGGATTAGTACAGCTGCCCCAAGACCTTGTTCTTGTCACTGATGGATTTGCCAAAGAGTTCATAGCTTTCAGAGGACAAAGAGGCTGACAGAGGGATCCTAATAGAGATGGCCTATTGTTATAAACCCGCTGATCACAAAGCAGCGTCACAAAATGAAGTCATGTTTGCACAGACCCGCAAATCTGAACAAGCATGACAGATCTCTGCATCAGTCACTCAGTCTCTTGCATCGATGGCAGGAATTGTCCCACAGTGCTCTGCAGCCGTCATGGGCCTCACCAGGGAAGACGGCTACTCCTCTGTGAACGGAGGGGGAGCAAGGTGCAGCTGGAAATTCTCATTCTGGAAAACGCTGCTCAGGGCAGAGTCGCCTTGCGAGATGCTGAGTGGCCCGGGCCTTTCCCCACCACGACTCCGGGACAGCTCTGTCAGGAGAGCCAACTGGGAGACAAAAGAAATGTGTCACTCACTACCCCAGGGCCTGAGCAGTCCTCACAGAAGTTAGCAAGGCCAGTACATCACCAAGGACAGCAGCCAAGGCTTTTCAGTTCTCCTGTGTGGCAGGAAGAGGCCTTTCTATGGGCTCACGCTGCTCATTTAAGTGTACTGTGAAGATCTGTTTTCCCCTTCCTCCAAGGTATCTGCTGCCATTGGCCACAGCCCAGAGCAGGAGCTGGGTCATGTCAGCATGGCAAGCTGATGTACTGTACAGTACGATTTGAGCAACAATGTCCACCCGTCCCTGCCCCCCCACCATTGTGTGGTACCTGCTGGAGAACCACCCCTAACCACTCTCACAGCCACCTATGGGGATGCCCTCAAGGAGAGTGGAAGCTGACATGGACCAGGTCTGGGAAGGGGTCAACACCCTGACCAGAAGCACTCCTGCATCAGCAGACAGGGAAAGGGGAGGGGGCCCAAGGGAAGCCTCTCCTGTGACCATGCAAGGAGAAGTTACACACTGCTCCTGTGACTGCGGATAGACACACAGGGCTTCTGCAGACCAAGGAGGCATCTCTGGGGTGATGGGACTCAACAGGATAAAAGAGCTGGGGCAGCTGCAGAGCACAGAGGGGTGGAGGTCTTGCTCCATAAACCACAGCAGACCTGATCGGGGAGCAGCTCTGGTGCAACTAACTGGGCCCAGAGGAAGGCAGCATCTCCTGGAGCCATCAAGCAGGGCATTATCATTTGGCCACACCACCCCTAGGCAGCTCTCCCTTGGCTCAAACTCTCCAGGCCTACCAGGGGTTATGACTGCCCTTCACTGTATGGGGGGGAAATGGGGACATATGCCCCTGCATCTAGAGAGCTGTCAGGAGCACCTAAGTTTTGTACCCATATGAACATTTGACCCCTTCTTTGAAGCTAGGACCAGGATCCTTTGCTGACAGCTGCTGACAGAAAGCAAGTGGAGATGGCGTATTAATGTGTATGACGCAGCTAGAATTGGTATCAGTCTTCTGGTGACAGAAACTGGCCCTGTAAAAAACACTTCCGTGTCAGACGTGACAGCATGGGGGTGTCATTTCACACGTGTGTTGTCCCTGAAAAGCAGCCTCTTCATCACAGCATCACATCTGCGCTGGGGGCAGACCTTCTGTGTCAAGGTACTGTTAGCAATGCACGCAGAGCCTCTTGCCACAAGCTGCCCATGGGAGCGTAGCCTGCCTCAGCAGACTTGCAAACCTGTTTGGGGCCCTTGGAAGGAAGCAACTGGCCAGAGAGATGCAGGAGCAAAGGAGGCTCAGCTGTTAACAGGCTGCTTAGGGAAGCCCTCTTTACCCACAGCAGGGGCACCATTTCTCCACCAGCAGGGCTGGCTTCTCCTCTTCGCTCCATACCCTCCTGGACTGGACTTGACTGGGCCCTGGCTGGCACTAGGGGCACTTCTACATGTGCTCTAGGGCTGGGTGGGGGGCAGTGCTTTAATTTGAGTGGCTCTAAGAGCCGCTCTAATTAAAGCACCGCCACATCTCATGCATCAGCGTCCCCACACTTAAAAATGGGGGTGAGGGGCACCAACTAAAGCTCATTCAACAAACTTTAGTTTAAGCACCCCCACCATCATTTTCAAGCATGGATACTCTCTGATACATGAGATGCAGGAGGCTGCTGGAGAGAGATAATTGCCATGCTGCTACTGAGGTCAATCCGTCGAGTCTGCTCTGATGCGCTGGAATTCCAGTGCATGCTCATGTATAAGCACCCCAGGAGACCAGAGATAGGCAAAATCTTAGGACTGACTATCTATAGATCAAGTCACTGGCTCGTAAAGCATGTCTCAACCCTCAGGCTGGGACAGCAGGTGTGTAGAGAGCATCCCTGGCATCGCTACCTCATCTGCCACTAGCTTGGAAGAATCTTCCTTGAGAGGACAGTTCAGTTTTGCAACAGCTCTTTACTGTACGTTGCACAGTAGGGGAGGAGAACAGGGGCAGGTATTGTGCGAGCACCCATCACCAGTCCCTTCACACCATTTGAAGCAGCCTCTGCCCCTCACAGCAGCATTATCTGGTCTCTCATGTTGTCTGCTTGCTTCCTGGGTTTGAATTCCCTAGGAACTCTGCTCCCATGCAAACTTCACCCTTAAAACACACCCTCTTCCCATCGTCCTGGCTTCCTAGCTTACCATCTAAGTGTCCAACCTCCTCCTAACTCCACAGTGCCTGGCCTGGCTGGTCTATCTAGAAACCCAGGTTGGGTTTTTTCTGTTTAAACATTTCTCCATAGCCTGTAGGCAAACTGCCCTGTGCAGTCTTCAAAAGGTTTCTGATGAAAATAAACCTATTCTTTAGCAACAGTGTCAGTCACTTATGCCTGTGTGCTGTGAGAGGGCAAAAATATCCTTCCTCTTCCTTTGTGGTGAGCATGGTGCTAATGAATCTTTGTCAGACCAAGGAGGGGAGGACAGAGATGATATCCTGGTGCCTCCCCTTTTTCCTCTGCCATCAGCATGCTGAGACAAGGCTGGAGTGTTCAATTACAGCCTGAAGAAGGGTGTTTGTGCCTGAAAACTTGCAAAGAACAATTTTTCCCGCTATTTAGTTGATCGAGTAAAAGATATCACATCTACCCAAAGAACCTTGTCTGCCAAGTACAGCCAGGGCTTTCTACTCCTCTCCTGCTCTGTGATACACACAAGTGTTCTTCTCAGAGCATTTTCCCCAAACCCCTGATCAATTAAAAAAGAAAAAAAAAAAAAAAAAGGAAGCCACTTTACCCTGGAGGTTCCTCGGTAAAGTCGGCAGAGTTGATCAAAGGCCTGGATTTGTTGGGGATCCAATGCAGACTCTGAACTTGCCTGAAAAACAAAGTGACCAGGTTGCGAAAAACAGAACAAAACCAAATGAGATTAAAATTCAAACTACATGCTAGGCATTTAGACTGATGAATGTCACAAGGTTGAAACAGCCAGCCTACAGCTCAGTATCTTTAGATAGAGGACACACTGCCTTTGCTTCAGGTCATTGTTCTGGGTTCTTTATTTGTTCTGCAAACCAAGTAATACAAGGCTTTAAGTGCACTGAGAGCTGTGGTAATGACAAACCCGGATGATCAGTAATGCATACTTACTGCAGTGCATAATGCATGTTCCCAAATTGCTTTATAAACATTAAATTAATATTCCAGGAAGAGAAGATGGACTATTCGGTGTGGTTATAGGCTCTTCTCTTATTAAATAATAATATGTTTCTATATTAAAACTTTTCTGCTTGTGTTCTAAAGCAATATGGTTATCTATAAGATGTACTGAGAGCTAAGGATAACAAACACTCCTCATTAGCAATGACCTGATGTAAGCTAGTAGGCTATAAAAATAAATTCCAGGAGAACTAACTATTCATATACAAGACTCCAAATTTCTAAAAAAAAAAATTAAAATAAAAATGTTTTATTTATTTACTTATTTTTAAATACAATGAGCAGCCACCAGTTTTTGAATTTCCCCGATTTGAGGTCACCTCAAGTCTCTTTGGAGATGAAATGGCAAGTCATAGCAACAGCTCATGCCAGATCAGAAAAACCACTAATGTCATTCCCCCTAAAGAAGGGATGGTGCCTGGAATGTCTCAAAGACACTGAGAGTGCTCCCATTAATTTCAAGGGGCCAGGATCACCTTACCCTAAACAAAAGGTGCCCCAATAATGCTAGACACCCATACTTTGCTGTTTGTGGGGGCATGTGCACAGGAAGGGAAATGTATGCCAAAAAATCTATTGTGAGAGTAGGAAGTGCATCCTCTCGCATAAGCATTCCAATTGAGGGTCACAACGCATTTGTCACTTATGGAACGTGTTTCATATTCATCACAAGTTATTTTACATTTAAAATAGCCCTTTTCCCAACTGCTCTGCACACATTAACTTTCACAATACCTTTTAGAGGAAGTGCAAGATGCCATAACATTTTCCGCACGTGTAACCACTGGCAAAGTGGTTTAAAAGCCTGCCCAGAAAGCATGGAGCAGGTCAGTAGCAGCGCTGAAAGAAAACCCAGGGCACCGGCTACCGGTGCCCTACTTGAACCCATCATTTCCCCATGAAAATACATGTGGAACCAGCAAGTCAATCATTACAGCACAGCCCAAATTAGGACATCCAGACATCCACACAATCTGATTTTTTTTTTTTTTTTTTTT